TGAGTGGAGACGCTAATATATGTGATTTAATCTACGGTTTTATCTATCTCGAGAGGGACGATAGGCTAAAATTGCGATCATCTTATAGGGTAGATAAAGAAAATAGTTAGTTGTGATAAATTTGAAGGAACCCAACTGTTAATTGAACCCATAGCCTTAGAATCTACCATTCCCATATATTCTTCTTAAGTGTTTTTCTAGTTGTTTTCTTATTCTTGCTTTATTTCTTTTGATTATATTTCCTTAGTTTAGTTAATCCATCTCATATTCGGTCGTCTAAATAAAGTTGGCACTATCATAATCTGGTACTTGATATATTAATTATTTGGTCTCTTGGGATACGACCTTGCTTGCCACATACTACGAGCGAAGCCGTACACTTGCGGTCGAGCTTTAAAAATATAGGCGAACATTAAACGACCGTGCATTCGTCATATAAGCCATTATGAAGATATTAAACTCGTTATAGGTCTAATTTTAGTCATTTTCATGTAAAATAACGAATGTACAAACATTTTATATCATATTTCCATTTTTCAAAAAAATAAAATAAAATAAGAACATGTATTGTTATTTTAAAAACGAGTTTCGTTGTGAGTGTTTCGACGCTCTAACACCTTCAAACTATCGTTCCAATGACACGTAACATGAATATACATGCATTATCAAGTAATTCGATTGAAAAAACCATAAGGAAAGCGCGTTTTGTTACGGAAAACAACTATAACGATTGTACATTCGTTATAACATTGAAATAACGAATGTACAATCGTTATGGTTGTTTTTCGACCAAAATCCACATTAAGCGACCGTGCATTCGTCATATAAGCCATTATGAAGATATTAAACTCGTTAGAGGTCTAATTTTAGTCATTTTTCATGTAAAATAACGAATGTACAAACATTTTACATCATATTTCCATTTTTCAAAAAAATAAAATAAAATAAGAACATGTATTGTTATTTTAAAAACGAGTTTCGTTGTGAGTGTTTCGACACTGTAACACCTTCAAACTATCGTTCCAATGACACGTAACATTAATATATATGCGTTATCAAGTAATTCGATCGAAAAACCATAAAGAAAGCGCGTTTTGTTACGGAAAACAACTATAACGATTGTACATTCGTTATAACATTGAAATAACAAATGTACAATCGTTGGTTTTTTTTCGACCAAAATACACATTAAAAGACCGTCCATTCGTCACATAAGCCATTATGAAGATATTAAACTCGTTATCGGTCTAATTTTAGTTATTTTTAACGAATTTACAAAGATATTACATGATCTTTCCATTTTTCAAAAACAAAAAAGAAACAAGTATTGTTATTTCAAAAAAGAGTTTCGTTGTGAGTGTTTCGACGCTCTAACACCTTCAAACTATCATTCCGATTACATGTAACATTAATATACATGCGTTATCAAGTAATTTGATCGAAAAAACCATAAAGAAAGTGCGTTTGTGTCGAAAAACAACTATAACGAATGCACATTCGTTATGGTTGTTTTTCGACCAAATCCACCTTAAACGACCGTGCATTCATTATATAATACATTATAAAGATATTAAACTCGTTATAGGTCTAATTTTGGTCATTTTTAAATTAAAAAAACGAATTTACAAAGATATTACATGATCTTTCCATTTTTCAAAAACAAAAAAAACACCAAGTATTGTTATTTCAAAAAAGAGTTTCGCTGTGAGTATTTCGACGCTCCAACACCATTAAACTATCGTTCCAATGACATGTAACATGAATATACAATCGTTATCAAGTAATTCGATCAAAAAATCCATAAAGAAAGCACGTTTGTTAAGAAAAACAACCATAACGAATGTATATTCGTTATGGTTGTTTTTTCAACCAAATCCACCTTAAATGATCGTGCATTCGTCATATAATACATTATAAAGATATTAAACTCGTTATAGGTCTAATTTTATCTATTTTTTCATGTAAAATAACGAATTTACAAAGATTTTACATCATCTTTCCATTTTTTCAAAAAAAAAAAAAAAAACAAGTATTGTTATTTCAAAAAAGAGTTTCGTTGTGAGTGTTTCGACACTCTAACACCTTCAAACTATCGTTCCGATGACATGTAACATTAATATACATGCGTTATCAAGTAATTCGATCGAAAAAAACATAAAGAAAGCGCATTTGTGTCGAAAAACAACTATAACGAATGTACATATAACGAATGTACATTCGTTATAGTTGTTTTTCGATCAAATCCACCTTAAACGACCGTGCATTCGTTAGATAATACATTATAAAGACATTAAACTCGTTATATGTCTAATTTTGGTCATTTTTAAGTTAAAATAACGAATTTACAAAGATATTACATGATCTTTCCATTTTTAAAAAAAGAGCAGAGTGTCGCGCCTGCGATACCCGTCGCGCCCGCGACAACCTGGGAAGCTCTCTGCCTGACGGATCTTTACCTTCAGTGTCGCGCCCGCGATAATGATAACGAAGGTACCTTCGTAGACATGTCCAAAATCCGGGCCGGGCTGGGCCGGCGGGCCGACGGGCTGGGTTGGGCTAACCCTGAACCGGCACGGCCTAGGTCCGTGCTGGGTCCATGGCCCGGCGGGGGGTCTGGCCCGTTTTCTTAAAAAAAAAAAGAAAATTCCAAACCTTTGATTTTTTCCGTGCCGGACTGGACCCGGCCCGGCCCGCCGGTCAGTGGCGAAAAAACAGGACCCTTACACGGCCCGTCTGAAATCCAGGCCGGTCCCGGACCTGTGGTCAACGGGTTTGACCGGGCCGTGTCCGGACCGGGTCCGTGCCGGGTCAGTGCCGGGGTCGGCGGGCCGAGCGACCAGGTGGCCATGTCTATACCTTCATTATTTTATACTTGATAACGACTGTACATTCGTTATACTTATAATTTTAACCTTTTTTAATGTAATACTACTATATAATACTATAAAACGAGACTATAGTCGTTTGTTTCTAAATTTCCTATAACAATTATTCAATAAGTACATTAGGTGAATCAATTACCCTTAATATTTTCAATAATCACTACATTGGATACACATAAGAAATTGAACACAAGACAAATTAAAATATAATTTCAAGCTTTAGCAACCCACTTTAATGAATTGGAGAACACATCAAAAACAACAAACAAAAAGTTAAAACACTATATGGCCGAGTCAAAACACTATACAAAAAGATTAAAACCCTATAAGTCAAAAGCAATACACTAATCAAAATATAACCTCAAGTTGCTTCATTGAGGTTAATCTCTGGACACCATCCACGATTATGACCGACTTTGAAACACCTACTACATTTACGAATTTGGCGAGGTTTAGTAGTTGATTTTCTTCGAGCCTCACCTGCCGATTTTTTTCTTTCGAATGTAGATCTGCCCCTTGGACGTCGTGATGGTGGCGGCAACACAATTCTTGATATAATTTCTTCTGGAACCATCCAATTGGTTTCATTGGGCAAAGGGTGAAACCACAATGAAACCAAAATGCATATCAAAGTATAATAACGAAACTACATTAGGATATGTCATAACCAAACTACATTGGGATATGTCATAACCAAACTACAGTGCGATATGTCAAAACGAAAATACATTTGTTATGTCATAACGAAACTACATTAGGATATGTCATAATTAAAAACAATGGGATATGTCATAACGAAATTACATTCCTTATGAAATAAACCTCAAATAACGGATCTACATTCACTATGAAATAATTAGATAACAAATCTACATTCATTATGAGATGTTTTTCATATAACGAATGTACATTCATTATGAAACTACATAACGACTGTACATTCGTTATGTACAAAAAATAAAAAAAAAAAACCTCAATGCCACAAAAACATGATAAGTATGAAACCAATATGTTTATCAATCATTAAATATGACCCAAAATGCTTTATCTCTAAAATAACAACAAACCCTAACATGATTTATCTACCATCACCACATTTTTTTTACAATATGGAATTGAAAGTTTATGTGTAATGATCATATTTTGTTCTCACCTTTTTAAGAGAATCAGAGCAAGAGAGACAGGAGCAAGCGAGCGAAAGAGAGAAGCGACCGAGAGAGAAACCAGCGAGAGAAAAGCAAGAAGCGATTCAAATTCTGCTCTTTTTTTTTTAATTACAAAGTTGGTAACCAAAAATAGAAGAAGGACATTATAGACATTTAACACATAAGGGTATTTTAGGTATTGCAAATATTTATTTAACTTTATTTAAAGAAAATGTTACTTAAACAAAAACAATGTTGAAAGGGTCATTTAAATAAATGACCCCTTTGACTGTCCCATTTAAACAAAGAGCCCATATTGTGACGTGAGACAATGTAGGTGAATTCATTTTACTTTTTTTTTTTTAAAAAAAATAAATTATTCTACTTAGTGTTATAAATAAAAATCTGCATAATAATTAAAAAAAAAAGTATAATTAAGTAACGGACTAACGGTTAATTTGCGCCAACATAAATCCTATCGTTTTTTATTTAACTCACTTTATTGAATTCATACAATAAACAAGAAACACAACTAAATTAATCTCACAACTATAAATGAGATTTGAGGGGAATCAACTCTATCGGTGACTACACTGCAATTATCAATTTTGTTTAATTGTTAATTTTGTTTAATTGTTGAACCAATACATATATCTATACGAACTTGAACTTGTATTGATCCAACTTAAAAAAAAATTGCAGATTGAAATGAACCAAATTCTACACCACAAATATAGAAACTCCACATAATGTGAACACAATTAGAAGAAGCTAAGATACCTTTTGAATTGCTCAACAATAATGGGGATATTTCATTTGACCCCACAAGATTTCGGATGAGGCACGAGTCCTCCACACGCCCCTGCACATATGGCCCTTTTCTCTCTCTACGTGGTGACTTCCCATTGGCCAGTAAGAGCCGTATACCGATTGGTCTCTTTCTATATCATCCAAATCCCACACCCTTTCAACTGCTCCACACGCACACACCAAAACTCCATTTTCCAAATCCTCTGCTCTTCAATCCTCAGATCTGAAATTCTTTTTTTCCGGCGAAGATGTTTATGGAGGCCATTTCAGCTGTATCCATGCAGTCTGTTCAGGCTCCGGCGAATCTGACGGCCCTGTCGAGCTCGTTCTCTCCGAATCTGAACTCATTTGCCGGCCGCAGACTGAGTTTCGGGAAGAAACGCGGTAATATTGCTGTGGTCGCGGCGTCGAACGAGGCATTGGCCTCGTCTATGATGGGCTTCGTGTTTCAGCCGCTGGAGGAGGTGCGGAGGGACGAATTTTTGGTCCCGAAGACTGGTGAGGTTTCGCTTGCTCGCCAGAGGCTCTCTGATGCATGTGAGGCTGCACTCAACGAACAGATCAAGTGAGTCGATCTCTTTTTTACTCTTCTTCTTCGCGACTATAAAACTTGTAAGTGCTTGCTGTTTGGTAAGTTGGGAAGCAGCTTAAGATGGTTTGGCATGGGCAATTATCATGTTTCAAAGAATTTTGTGTTGTCGAGCTAATGAGTTTGATCTGGTATGATAAATTTCTGGCGATCTTTAGATAATTTTGATAAAATCTAGATATGTCATTGTCAGCTCTCTGGTGTAGTTAGTAGTTAGTACTGTTTGATGTTCAGTGGCAAATGAAAATGATCCTCATGAGTAGAATCCTTTTGGGGAAAATGGTGAGATGATCACTGCAATTTGTAGAATATGTTTCCGTAAGTATCTGTTTGTGTCTTGTTTGTGAGTGTTTATTGTTATGTTAGATTCTGTAGAAATATGTAAGGTTATCGTTAACACATTGGTTTCCTCTTGTTGGTTTCAGTGTGGAGTACAATCTCTCGTACGTGTACCATTCTATGTACGCCTATTTTGACAGGGATAATGTTGCTCTAAAAGGCCTTGCTAAGTGAGTGATAAATATCTGATATTTTGTTTATCTTTTCATTTTTTTTTTTCTTTTCACTTCTTAAATCTGTGCATTATGATGATGATGATGATGATGATGATGATGATGATGATGATGATGATGTTTGACTAGATTTTTCAAGGAGGCCAGCTTAGAAGAAAGAGACCATGCGGAGAAGCTAATAGAATATCAGGTCACTGTCAAACACGACATTTTCACTTGTCTAGTTCATTCTGTTCATATGTTTCTTGATGAAAATATAACATGCTTTTCCTAAACTTTTGGCAAAATAAAGAATAAGCGAGGAGGGAGAGTGAGGTTGCACGCGCTGCAGGCACCACCTTCAGAATATGATCACCATGAGATGGGTGATGCACTTTATGGTAGGTTTCTGTATGCATAATTTCATGTTATGATCCTGTTACTGTGTAAGTTATATATGATATTCCTGTTATGTTCCCACTTAAATCAGTGCTCTATGTAATTTACCGGCAGACCGTGTAAGTTCTTTTCTTATTATGATCCTCACCATTTGTCATTTAAATGCTCATTGATTTGTCAGCTATGGAACTATCACTGGCCTTGGAAAAATTAGCCAATGAGAAGCTCTTACTCCTCCATGCTGTAAGGCTTGTCTGACATTGTTTTCCCATTTACATTTTCTAATTTTTTTGAAATGCTTAAATTTTTGCAGTCGATTTAAAGATACTTCCTATATCTGTTGCAAAATGTTGAGTTCTATTTCAATTTTCATAAATGCTCAGGCTGCTGATAGAAGCAACGATCCCCAGATGGCAGATTTCATAGAAAGCGAATTTCTAGCGGAGCAGGTAAATCTCATAGATGTCAAAAATTGTCAATTAATAACATGCAGAGAGAACAATCAGAACTGTATGCGGTGGAACTTAATTATACTTACTGAAAAATAGCATACTGCAAGACGCGAATCTGTATAGTGAACAAAACATAGCTTGAGTATCACAACCCTCCGAACTTCAAACTTTTTATCAGCTGTTCCTTTTTCTGTGTTTCTCTTCACTTATTTTCAGGTTGTTGCCATCAAGAAGATCTCAGAGTACGTCTCCCAGTTGAGGAGAGTTGGAAAGGGACATGGTACGACAATCTCTTTCCCTAATTTATTCAATTGTACAATTGTATTTTCTCTAAAAATTAACTAAATGTTGTGGATGTTCAAATGCACGTGCAGGTGTTTGGCACTTTGATCAAATGCTCCTTGAGGAAGGAGTTGGTGCAGCGGCTTAAGTACGTTCGGCGTTTTTTCATGCTAGATGAATAAAGAAGGGGCATGTATCAGTTTAGTTTATGGATGTACCATAATCATCGCCTTACATGATGAGACTGGAATTTAGCATTTAGTCCTGGATTTGTTAGATTCAAAATCAACGTGGCAGACGAGAGAGTTGCTTGCTACCTAGTTGCCTTGAACATGTGAATGTATTTTGGTCCTTTTTTCTTTGTATGCTTAAATCATCTCATTGCCTAGACAGTAAAAATTTGTTCGTCACTCTTGTCAAATTTCTCACATAATAGGCGAAAATGATCGCAATGGATCTAAAAATGTCATTTGAGGAGGAAAAGGAATAAAATAAAGGAGGCTGTAGCGGACTAAACTTATCTCAATTAGTCAATTCTCAATGGATCTGATTTGCGGAGAGAAAGGAAATGAAACAAAGGAGGTTGTAAAGGGAAAAACTTCATCACAAAGAATCTTAAACAACTAGAGTGGTAAATGAACCAAATTCGAGCTCATGAGATACATAAGTTCAGACTGGAGTCCTTGTCGACCTGAGTTATCAAGTAAAGAGCAAATAAATAAGCTCAAACTCGACTTGTGATATATGATAACAGTTAAGAATATTATGTAAACACCTTTATTTATCAAATATTAAATGAGCTCAAACTTGGCTCACTTGTCAAACACGTCGTATTACCTTATACTAACAATAAGAGGCCAATTTAATTGTGCATTGGCATATGTTTCTGGATCTAAAAAGCCTAAAATTTCTGAGTTATATTCAAAACATCAATAAGCACGTCATCATTCAGAAATAAACTACACACATGCACCAAAATCCCAAAACTTAGTATATCGCAATATGCAGACAAATATTCAAAAGCTCCCGATGGGAAACATCACNTAGCATCCAGGACATAATAAATAGTTCATTCCGGTGAAAGTCTCAACAACATAGCCAAAACGCATACAACCAGATTATAACAATTTAAAACTACTTCCAACCATCGATAAGAGCAAAACACAGACTTCTAAGCAGTTGCACCCTGGGCTGCAAGCCTCTTCCTAGCCTCCTCAATGATGGACAGCTTAATACCCTTGCCCTTGGGAAGGGACACCCATGGCTTTGTGCCCTTCCCAATAGTGAACACATTGCCCAGACGAGTTGCAAACTCGTGCCCAGTTGCATCCTGAATGTGGACAGTTTCAAAGCTACCCTTATGCTTCTCGCGATTCTTGATCACCCCAACACGTCCCCTGTTCCTGCCACCTGTCACCATGACAACATTGCCAACGTCAAACTTGATGAAATCGACAATCTTGTTGCTCTCAAGGTCGATCTTGATGGTGTCGTTGGCCTTGATTAGCGGGTCCGGGTAGCGAATGGTCCTCCCATCATAGGTGTTGAGGTAAGGAATGCCTTTTTGTCCGAACTTGACTGAACGGACCTTGCAAAGCTTGAACTGTAAAACAGACATAGAAAAAGGTGCGTGAAAATCTATTAAAAGAATGTGTTAAAATCTACTATGAAAATGAAAAGCTACTGAGAAGAAATAGTACAGGTCGCATGCCTTTATACACATCACAAGACCAACTGGAACTTAAATGAAGAATATGCGTGCAAAATGCAAATATATACGTCTATCTAAGGCTCAACACTCTACTACAAACCATATTTAATAGAAAAGTATAGAATCCAGGTACAAATTCTTAACAGCAGTCAACAAATCCATATTGATTTCAATGCCCTAGATGAATTTGCACTGACGACAAAGTAACTCAGTACCTCATAGGCCATTAGGAAGTGTCTCAACACATCCAACACAGTACCTCGTATATATATACTGAAATATGCAGATTTTTCATTTTCAACACAAAAGAGAAACCTAGAAGGTAAGAAAACAGACCTTAGCTTCCTCATCTCTGATTATGTGAAGACGGAATCGGCCCTTGGTGTCGTACAGGAGACGGAAATATTCATTGGTTTTTGGAATAGACACCACATCTAGAAAAGAAATAACAGAAGCACCATTTTAGATTGACCCAAAAGAGAAA